TCACACAGTTGGAGAATAGAATCAGGAAGCATGAAGGGAAAACGCCGCCCTCAAAGATACAACATTAAATCATCAGGGGTTAAGTGAAAACGCCGCCCTCAATGATGGCCCCAAGTCAGCTGCTTTGCAGGAGAGGATGTTCTGGCAGTTCTGTAACCCAAGCTTTTGTAAATTCATCATTGAGGGATCATCAACGGATGATGCCAAGGTGAACACTTTTGCAGTGAACTAGCATTGCGCGCCAATATCATCGAAGATGACATTGGAACGAACACCTTTGCAATGGACTAGCATTGCCCTTTTCAGGCACAATGGTATGAAATTTGTTTTTGGAAGAGGCCATAATTTCCAAAAGGCCAAGAGCTTTTGTATGCATTTTTGACTGCGCGCATCTCACATTGTGATCTGCACGCATGATCACAGCACGCACAGTGTGCACATGCTTTGCATTTTGAAAGCAGTTTGCGCGATGTGTTTTGGAAGCACATTTGAATGTGTCATGAACGTCGTTCAGTTTCATGTAAAGATGGAAACGATGAACGCAGCTTTTGCACGCAGTCCGTTGAACTTTTCACCTTTTGGACGCCTTGCAATGTTTTTTCTCTCAAGAAGGAGAGGCTCAAGCAGAAGTGACGAACGTCACGTTGGTTGGTAAAAGGGACGGCCTGAACCTTGAAAGTGTTTCGAGTTGTTTGCTTTTGTTTCTTTGCTCAGCTTCGTGTGTGTTGTATACACGTATACACACTCAACAGGACGCGTAATCGCGAGGGCTTGTGCACGCGTACTTCGTAGCAGTAACACGTTACGCTGGCAGCGCGTAAACGTACATGGTAGCGGAGCTCTGCGGAGCTGACTAGCGTCGGTATGCAAGATCCAGGACAAATGCATGGAAGCCCAGGCGCGATGGAACGCGGTTTCGGAGAGCAAAGTGAACTTCCTCAAGCACCACAAACACCTAGTCAAGGTAGCCGTCAGTCTCAGAGCGTACATGAATCTGAACTTCGCGGTAACAGGCACGGTAATCCACGGAACTCAAATGGCCAAGATCATCCCCAGGCAGCGCAAGCGCAACCAGGTATGCAACCAGGCTCACAGGCTTTTTCATGGACGCATGTGCCTCAGCAAGCATACGGTCAGATGCCCGGTCAGATGCCTAGTTTTCCTCAAGGTCCAGCATGGTATGGGGCGCAATGGATGCCTAGAGGCCTGAGTGGTTATGGACTCAGCACGGCGGCAATTCCTCCTTTCCCAGGAGCAGGTGGCATGGGATGTCACCCTGGGTGTATGGGGCCTAGACCTCCTAGTGGTTGCGGCCTTAATAGCATTGGCTTGAACCTCGGTGGTTGTACGCCTCAGCAGTCACGTGTTCAGGAAGTGTTGCAAGCTTTTGACACTTTGAATGAAGCTCAAATGCAGACCGTTTTTCAGCAGTTGCAGGAGCAGTTTGTCACGACGCAACAACGCAGGTTGGTGCCGGATGTCTTTGGACAAAGGAGCGAACATTTGAACACAGGCACATTCGACACAGGGTTTGACGCTTCCCAGTCTCACGGTGCACCTTCAGGACTTCCGCCGGATGTCGGTCGAGGAGCACAGTTGGATGTGTTTGCAAAGAGTGAGAAGTGGTTGGCGCCTGCACCAGTGCCATCGTTGAACACTTGGACAACGCGTGAACAGGAGATCATTGGTTGGTCAACGTATTTGGAGGACCTCATTGCTTGGGCAGCTCAGGCTTCGTTGGAGTTCAGTGTTGAGTTGCAGCATGCGAGTCGATGGCCACGGCCTATTAGTTGGGCAGGCATGAGCAGTGCACAGCAGGCACGATCTCGGAGACTTGTAGCCATCCTTCGTTCCGCCTTTAGTGCTCATCCTCGTTGTGCGAACCTGATCGCGGTTTTCTGTGAAGGTGTTGCATTGGATGCCACTAGTATGAGTGAAGCGAACTTGATGATCGCAATGTCCCAGGCGGCGAATGGATACGAGTTGTTGAGACACGGAAGCAGATCACTTGGAACAGGAGATCAAACGGCAGGCGATGGAACTAGAGGCCCCCATGGACTCCTTAGGACTTTGTTGGGTTGAAACGGGTGAGCCAGTACAGCTTTGGAACTTGTCGCAAATTGAGGGTGTTCCATCTTTCTCCCCTTTAACTGGCCCGGACATGTTTGATCAGGATGTGTGGGAAATGAGCGCCATTCGTTTTGATCATGGTCATGTTTGTGAACATATACCCATGGAACTAGGAGGACGCACAGTTTTGATTTGGAAGCCAACGGCCATCATTGATGACCAAACATTGGATGAGTTGAATGTTGAACTAGGGTTTGTAGGAATGCAAGAAGAGATCTACAATTTGGAACACTGCAAAACAGGTAGGACGATTTCAGAAATGGAAATGAAATCCTTTTGCAAGAAGTTTCCCAGTGCTCGGTCAAGTCCGCGGGTTGCAGCTTTCAAGTCAGCAGAGCGAGTGAGGACTCGCATTGTTGCCAAAGACTTCAACAGAGGTCAATCAGCCAGGAGCCTTGGATTTTCTTCACCGACACCGTCTATTGAAGCGTTGCATCTTATTCTAGCTATTTCAGCAACCAGACGCTACTTGCTTCGTTCGTTGGATGTCTCACATGCCTTCATGCACAGCCCTTTGGGAAAGGACATGCATGTCGTGTTGAAATTGCCCTTGAGCGTGAGTTTGGACGATGGACAACCCGCTTTCCTTGTGTTGGATAAAGCCTTGAATGGTCTTAGGGATGCTTTACTTTGTTGGCTTCAGTTGTTGTCGGAGACTGTGAAAACCATTGGTCTTTGGACCGACTCCATTGAGCCGTGCGTGTACAGTGGAGCAGTGTACGACGGAGACACACACCTTGGACATGTCCTGGTTATAGTCTATGTGGACGACATCTTGCTGGCCTCGTCGACGGAAGAGGCAGAAGCTTTTGTTGTGGACACCATCTCCAAGGTTGTTCCGACCAAGACCACTGGACAAATTCCATTGGAAGGAGGGTCGCTCACATTCATTGGTCGAATCATCCAACGAGTTGCTCATGGAGACGAGTTGTTGTTGTCGATCAACCCGTCTTACTTGGACTCCACCTTCAAGGAGTATGGCATTGACAAAGGGAGTGATGCAGCCCCGGATGTCGCAAGTCATTTGGAGAAAACAATGACAGACGAGAATGCCAAGAAGCCTTTGAGTAGTGAAGCGTATGGACGCTTTCGACGGGCATTGGGCAAACTCTTGTGGATGAGCCAGGTGAGACATGATTTGAAGACATGGTTGAGCATCATTGGATGCCATCAAGCATCACCCATGTCAGGAACGGAGGCAGCGCTTAGATCGGTGTTGCGTTTTCTCAAAAATGATATGCATGTTGCCCTTGTCTTCCCGACTCGTGATCCTTCTTTGGATAGTCAAGTGGGTGAGAAGCAATTGAGAACTGTCAATCTCCATTGTTTTTCGGATGCCAGCTTCGCTCCGTATCGGTTCAACAAACGCCGTGGTATCTCAGGAGGTTGCGTTTTCTTTGAACGCTCACTTGTACGGTCGTTAGCTCGACAACAGCACGCACTTTCACTCTCATCTTGTGAATCTGAGTTGTATGCATTGCAGTCAGTATGCCAGGAGTCTGTTGCATTTGGAAAGTTGGTACACCGATTGCTGTTTAGCATTGAGGAGATGGACGAACCAGATCCAGTTCATGTATTCCTCGAATCGGACAGCTCGTCGGCATTGCAGTTGGTGAAAGCCTTAGACATTCCAAAGAAAAGCAGACATGTTGAGATCCGATTGTTGTGGTTGCGTGAACAGTTGAATGACGGGCAGTTGTTTGTATGCCACCGACGTGGAGAGTCAAACCCTGCCGATCTTTTCACCAAGTGCCTTCAGAGTCGTCTCTTCTTTGTGCACAGGTTCACGATCGGCCTTGTCAAACTAAGTGGACTTCTTGAGATGTTGGCGATTATGCAGTACGCTGTAAGCTCAGGAGCTCGAGCTTCTTCGGATTTTGCAATCGTGGAAGTGTGTTGCTCAGAGCATTCATCTCTTCGCAGAGCATGCGAGTACCCAAGAATCCCTTATGTTGGCATCACCGCCCAGATGCAGAGTAGAACCACCTTTGTACGTGTTCGGACTTGTGTTCAACAATGGGAGAAAGCAGCTCTTTGGGTACATGTTCATGCATCAACCCCATGTTCCTCAGGATCCCCTTTGAGGAACTTCTCAACAACGAATGTCGTCACTGCAGCAGAACAGGAGTGGCCGGAGGTCATTGAAGCTGTTCGAAGTTACTTGAGCTTAGGTCACAGTGCTTCGTTTGAACTTCCACAGGTGAATTCCATCTGGTCACGACCTGAGACGAAGGATGTCCTGTTGCAATGTGGACTGACTAACGAGTGCTTTGTACGCCTTTGCAGGACTGGAAGCGTGAATGTACAGGGGGAACCTATAGGGAAAACCCTAAAGTTCGCTTCGACGTCAAAAGGCTTTTGCACTGTGCTTCATAGGAGGTTTGGTGTTTGCACTTGTAAGCTAGAGCATGCAGCTATGGACCATGTGGACTATCCTAGTACAGCTAGCTACACGAAGAAACTAGCAAGAGGGATCGTCGATGCCGTTCGTGGAGCTCGTAGAGATCCTTAGTTCTTGTTTGTTGGAATGAGCACCTTTTGGCAGTTGTGCATGATGTTCAGTTTGAAAGGGGGACAATTTGCAGTGAATAGCATTGGATGTGTTCCTTGACTTTCACTTTTCAGCGTTTTGTTTCACGTTCGTGTTTTGGCCTTAGCTTCAAAGAAGAAGGCGTCGAGCTTACTAGATTTTCAGTACAGCAGACCACTTTTGTTGAACGCAAAGCAGTTCAAACAAGTAAGAATGTATGCCACGAAACGTCGCAAACTTTCAAAGAGAGTGTCACAAACTTTGACAAAACGATGCATGCACAATGTCTTCAGCATGTATACACTACACAGTTCATACTGTATGTACATATCTCCGCCTTCTCACCTCCCGCTTCCCTTGGTTGTTTTTGGAAACCTGGATAGGGGAGAGGAGTCCCGAGCTAGAGGTCACTTTGGTGCCCTGGTGGTTGTGGGCAGCACCGTAGTGAAAGCGGTGAGCCATGGCAAGTTCCAGCAGTCCAGCAAAATGGACGCCGGAGGATGAGTGGGCATTGTCCCTGTTGATGCAGAAGCGTATGAACGCTGACACGACAGGAAGCTTTGGACCGCCATCTTTGCCGGAGAAAGGAGCGCTGCAGTCCGCTGGCGCGATGCATGATGGGTCAAAGAGACGATGGGTGGCAGAACCGGAGGCAGCTTCAGAGTGGGAGCAAGTGAACACTGAGAGTGCACCGAGCTATGCAGGAAAGGTGAGAATGGATGACACACTTTTCGAGGAAGCCCTAGTGGCGGCCTTGGACGCCTCTCCAGTGATCGGCGCAGCCAGCCAGAAAGAGGCTGACAATGACCTCCCAGTTGACCTCCCACCTGGTGTTGACAGCCTGACGCAGTGGGGACGCACCATGATGTCCTTTGGGCAATACAAAGGGAAGTATTGCTACCATGAGATCGCCAGTGGAGCAAGCTTCTGGGACTATAAGAAGTGGGTGAGGACCCACATCAAACCTGGAGCTAGCAAAGGAGCAGCTTTGGATTTTGCATCCTACCTGCGAGCGTATGACAAAGAACATGGGCGTTCACAGTTGCCGGTTTTTCCAGGAACATCGATTCCCCGGCAGTTCAAAGATGCCTAGGGACCGAAGGGCATCCAGATGGATTTGGAATTGGCTATGAGCCAGGCAGCGCTGGAATTTTTGAAAGCAGCTTGGACCTGGACGCCTCTCGTGTGGTTTTGGTCTCACTCCAGCTCAAAAGGGGGTGTGAAATTTGGATGTGCGAGACGCACCAGATGTGGCGAGCTGGATGTTTTGTGTGCGACAATGGCATATATGGATGCCATAGTGGAATCCATGAAGATGTGAGGATTTTTGCATGCTGAGTATCACCATCGGGTGATGCTTATTTGGACACCTTTGCAATGAACTAGCATTGCACCAGCAACAAGCTCTTCACGCACCAGGTATCATCAACGGATGATGCCAAGGTGAACACTTTTGCAGTGATCTAGCATTGCACGCCAATATCATCGAAGATGACATTGGAACGAACACCTTTGCAACGGACTAGCATTGCCCTTTTCAGGCACAATGGTACGAAGTTTGTTTTTGGAAGAGGCCATAATTTCCAAAAGGCCAAAAGCTTTTGTATGCATTTTTGAATGCGCGCATCTCACATTGTGATCTGCACGCATGATCACAGCACGTACAGTGTGCATATGCTTTGCATTTTGAAAGCAGTTTGCACGATGTGTTTTGGAAGCACATTTGAATGTGTCATGAACGTCGTTCAGTTTCATGTAAAGATGGAAACGATGAACGCAGCTTTTGCACGCAGTCCGTTGAACTTTTCAACTTTTGGACGCCTTGCAATGTTTTTTCTCTCAAGAAGGAGAGGCTCAAGCAGAAGTGACGAACGTCACGTTGGTTGTGAGTAAAAGGGACGGCCTGAACCTTGAAAGTGTTTCGAGTTGTTTGCTTTTGTTTCTTTGCTCAGCTTCGTGTGTGTTGTATACACGTATACACACTTAACAGGACGCGTAATCGCGAGGGCTTGTGCACGCGTACTTCGTAGCAGTAGCACGTTACGCTGGTAGCGCGTAAACGTACAGGCATCTTGGGTAGAGCTCCTTCCATCTGAAGGACCAGACTCTGACGCCTTTGACGAGGAGATTTTGGTTTCCGCCGCCCGTGCGGCACGATCCATCATGGTCTCGAACGCTTGCTATCTACCGGCAGCACACTGAGCCATGGCCCCCTATTCCGGAATACTGACGATAAAATTGCACATCTCCTGCTTACTAAAGATTCTGCCCCTGGCCCTTTGCACTTGACGATGACGATGATGATGATGATGATGACCCTTGGCAATCTCATCAATCACCTGCGCCTGCGCAATGGATGTGATGATGACGATGACGATGATTGTGATGATGATGATGATGATGATGGTTGTCATGACAGTGACCTCGATGATCCTGGTGATGACAGTGACTGCTGATGCTGATGGTATCGTACTGACTATGGTGATATCGATGATCATGATAAAAATGATACTTGGACAATTGAAATTAGTATATAACCATTCTGGAAGGAGAACCTCGCAGGTGCTTTCGGAAAAAAATTAGCATCAAAAACCATGTCTGGTGCAAGAGAGAATTTGGGAGGCACAAGGATATTTTCAATTCGTTTTTCAGACTTACGTGCTTCAGGTTTTGTGGTGTTGCGCAAATGAATGGATGTCAAATGCAGGGCCAACATGGTTCCATCGCGTAGCCAGTCAATAGACATTGGTGCTTTGAAAAAGCAATGATTTGTTAAAGTAGAGTGTTTTTAAGTACAGGATTCACGTGGCATCAGAGGCATTGCACTGTTCTAGGTTTGGTACGGTTTCTCTTTGTTCATTTTTTAATGACAAATTTGATTTGCCCAGCGCAACACACACGATTGGACTGAGTGCAATGATTGTAGTGCTAAGTGAGTGGTTTGGGCACTCCAGTTGGAATGCCGCTGTTTCATGCATAGGATTCAATCCATGACGTTCTTTTGGTTTCAATCAACATGCGCGGCACAGTTGGACTTATGTGCATGGGGAAACTCATGGACCAAGCACATCCAAACACATTCTTTAGTGCACTCGTTGTTAGTTCACAGTTCTGAGTCGTCACCATAGTGTAATCGGTCGATGCTTTGTTCTGCCAATCTTGGTTCCAATTGGGTAGTCGCAATTTCGCAATGTCTGTACGAGGGAGAACGCATGACAAGAAACCACAATGGGCCATTTTGGCAAGGGAACTTTGTTCGCTGAAGTATTGGCTCATTTGACGCAGCTTGAACATGTTCGTGGCTACAGCAGGGTTCCAAGCCTGCCAAGTACTATGATTCGTGTTCATGCACTATGAAACATATTATCCAAACTGTTTCTGCACTTGCATTTTTTGGTTTCAGGCATCATCATCTTCAGCTCCTGTGAGCTCAAGGCTGCTCACAAATTCCTGATTATTTTTGATTCAATCTAATTTGATTGTGCGAGGCATGTACACAGTCAGTTTGTCCTGAGACCGTTTGAATCCTGGAAAACAGAGGCGGTGGTCTTGATTCGTTAGCATCTGAAAAGCCTTGGTAAAACTTTGCACATCTTGAAAGGCATTCTCTGCGAGAACGCTTGCCTGTGTACTTGGTGCCTTTGCAGCAGGCTTGATGCAACACATTTGTCCAGGCTTGCCATTCTTGGTTTTTTAGATCTTGTTGACGTGTCACCTTGCAAGGCCGTTCTTTGCGGGCGAACTGGAGCCGTGATGCCTTTCAACTGAACATCCATTTGTGTACTGCAATGCAAGATTGATCTTTTTCGTGGGTCTCCCATTCAATGCCAGTGTAGGTTACTTGAAGTTTGTTTCTTTGCATACTTGCAGTGCTGAGCCATTGTGGTTGAAATGTGTTTCAATACCATGACGCAGAGCATGATGGACAGTCTTCAAGGGTGTAATACTTCCACTCAAGCACAGCAAATCGATCCAGTGATTGTCAAGAGAACGTGTCTGAATGTGGTTTTCTTTCTGGGGTACAATACATCAGAAATATAACAAATGAGTATTAGTATGTGACTGCCCACTCACTCTTGCATGTTGCTTCGAAGTCAAGACAATGCTGGATAATCTGTAGATCTATGAAGCCAGAGAAAGCGAAGCTGCCAAAGCTGCTAAAGCTTCCAAAGCTGTTCGCTCGTCTGAAGCTTATGTTTCAGCTGTGAAAATGTGCGGGGGGCCGTCTAACTCTCCCACTATCTTCCCTAAGGCGCCAATGGTGGCCTGGCTCTTGGGCAGTTTCTAAATCCCTTCGAAGCGCAAACTCGCGTTGCTGAGGCCAAGGCCAAAGCCAAGGCAAAGGCCACGGTAAAGGTGAAGGCGAAGGCAAAGAGTTCAAGACTCTCTGCAAAAAGGGGTTCCAAAGTGTCCAGAGAAGAAGAAGACAACTTGAAGACCTTTGCAGAGTTTTCGCCTGGTGATGCTGTTTGCCTGGTGGGATTGCAATCCTTTGCAAAGTTGAATGGTCAACATGGGACTCTACTTTCCTATGATGATGAACGAAAACGATGGCAAGTGGAGCTGAAGGATGGAGTGAGAAACGTCTTGGTTTCAAACTTAAGTCGAAAACCTCAAGCCACTCCCCAGCGGCAAGCAAAGCAAGCTGCAAAGCGTCCGATGCACTCAACAAAGGACAGGCTGGGCATGCAATTTAAACGTTGCAATTTCGGTTTGCATCGCACGTTTACTAGCTGTGAAACCTTGTGTCTTCTGTCTTGGACTTTGGAGTTACCTACGAGTTGCCTTCATGCCTTGTTGCCTCAGTTGCAGGATGAGACCAAGCCAAAACGCACTTGTTCGTCCAAGGATGCGCTTAATTGGTGCTGAGAATTCGAAGTTAGAGCAGTTTAATGAAGCTGTCATGATTGTCATGCACAATTCTTGTGGTGACAGCAGTTTCCAGGATGTTATCCCAGCTTCAAGCTCCAGGCTTGACGGGCAACACTCTCTTCATGGACGACCTGTGGGTGTATGTGCAGGGACACGAACCCATGACCCGTAAGAAAGGTCAAACATCGCAATTTGTACTTTTTCAGGACCTACCGGGACCACAACACCATGACACCCACCCATTTGGACATACTTTTGCTGCAATTGTGTGGTGTACGCTCTACTTAGAGCTCTCGTGAATCAACAGTATGACTGGCAAAGCCTTCTCGGTTGCCACCTACCAACATATATAGAATATGTGAGAACTGGATGGTTTTCTTTCTGTTTAAAGTGCTAGCAATATTCCTCAAACTTCGACCCAAGGTTTGGGCTCCAGCTCAGAGGCTACACTCTACCAAAAATGTGACCAGGATTGCACGTGACAGCAACTGGTACCAACAGGTAGATGTCTTCATGGATTCATGGCTTAAGTTTCCCCAAAAATCTGGAAATCATTAGTGCAAGCTATTCTTCAAGGAAGCTTCCCCCGCCTCCAAGCTACCTGCCTCTAGCTAACCCCCTGTACTTGCCAGTTCCCTACACTTCTTTTGTGATGGTTGGAATGTGGCTGCATGCCTCGATGGCATGAAGCCTACGCACAGGTTAGAAGCTGATCAGCCCGCAGTGCAGCCAGCACTCCAGCAGCCCGAAAGGTCCTCACCTGTTCTGAGCTGAGTGAAGTTGCACAGTTTATCAAAGCTGATGACTGATCTGTACTTTGGATACAACAATCCGACCGCAATATATGAACCAGATTTGTGTTGCATCTCCTAGGCTGTTTCCAAGGTGGACCCAACAGGAGTTTCCAAGGCACTGGTTCGCTGGAAAAGCTGTGCAGAATGTGTAACAGAGCCGCTTTAGTAGGCAGATCTGTACTTCCATGCACTTGTTTTTCTGGTATCTGATGGTTTCTGGATTCTGGTGGCTTGTTATATATCACTTCCGGCTTCTGTTTGCTTTTAGTAGCTTCTTGTGGCTTTTGTTGTGGCTTCTGTTGGCTCTTAGTGGCTTCCTGTGGCTTCCCTCACTTTTGGTGGCTTTTGGTATTTCTTGGTGGCTCTGGCGGTTCTTCTTCCTTGATTTCCGGGAGGAATCCTCCACAAAGACAAACTTTCTCTCAGAATACAAATCATTCCTTCTAGAAGCTTCTGCAGTTTTATACAACCGATTGTTCAGGATGAATTGATGCGTTTCTTTGGTGCCTCAACAGCCTTGACAAAACCAAGCCGCTTGTTACTTCAACGGGTTTAGCCTCTCAGCCATGGCAGAGAGCAACGTCATGGGTACAAGGCTGAGAAGCCGCTCCTGCCGCGGATCCACGCTTGAACAGCTGAATTGGAGTCGTCAAACCTCTCCTAAGCCCAGCAGCCAAAGTTCAGGCATGTGGATGGTAAGAAAATAGGTGTTTCTGAGAGCAACAGACTGGTAATGAAGAAATGTGTGGACAATTGAAACGGTCCACATAATTTTGTGCATCCAATGCAAAAGAAGCATGCGCAGCTGTACGTTGAAATGTTTTTTCTTTTACATGAATACGCGTTGATATGCACGGGTATTCCACGACTTAGGGAGACTTGATATTTACCTGGTGTCCTGCGGTGAAATTTCTCCAGGTCCATCTCTGGAAGGTTCTGAGGTGACCCGGAAGATTGAGCGGGCCTTGCATCGAGTGGAAGAAAAGACTGACAAGACAGCTTTGCAGAATGACATTCTCGAGAAGAAGCTGGGAGAAGTCTCTGGGATTGTCGAAGACATTCTCGAGATTTTGCAAAATGGATCCACACTTCAGTACAGTCCGCTTTTCCTTTTCTGTTTATCGGTTCTCACTTTTCAGTACCAGTAATTGATAAACAAATCCAAGCTTTCAGTCCTCATGATGGGATAGAACTGACAGAGGTCAATAGTTCAAGAGGTTTCAGGAG